GTCAACCCTGAGCCGGTGAGATTTGAACCGCTGACCTGCTGATCTAGCAGTAGTCTGCAGTGCTGCATTTAACCACTGCGCCACCTTGGCTCTAATTGCCTCACTAATGTGATCTTTCATTCTTCACTCAACACCTTCCCTAATTATTTTCTCCTCTTTAGCAATCACTCAAGCATGTGTGATGATGCAATGAGAAAGTGTGGTCACCCTTTTAATAAGCTACTAAAACACTTGACTGTTGTGTAGTTCGGCTGAGATGGGATACCAAATGTTTTTCCTGTTTCCCAGCATGGGATGTGAAAAGATATGAACATCCTAAGTACACTGTGTTTACCCAAAAAACAGTTCTATGGAAATATATTTTTGCAGAAAGAATTGGCTAGTTATTTTTTTTAATTTACATACATACACTTTTTGCATTAGACAAAGAGGAGGCCTATTTCATGGTTTTTGAAATTGAGAAATGTCTATGAGCATATATTTGACAGTTTCATAAGAAGTCAGACTCCAAGGGTAACGGATTTTACCATTCTGATATTAGGAGAACAATCAAAGGCAACATATGGATGCTGTCAGGCATATCAAATGCCAAAATTAGCTGATCAAGCTAGAAGAATATGCCAAGTATGGGGATAATGTATTCTAAAATGAATTTTCTTTAATTCATTGCTCAGAAAAATTGCCAAATAGTGATTGTTTTATTTCCATTCAGTGTATGTATGTATGCTTGCATGTATATATGTGTTTATACAGTACGCCTTCTTACAAGATTATTTAAGTATGTAAGGAAATAGATGATTCCATAAAGAAAAAATCTGCATTGAAAGAAGATAGAAGCTGGCAGAACAAGGAACATATACTCCATTCACATGTTTTCAAGATGCTTGCATTATTCCATCAATCTGAAAAGGAGCAACACTGAAGATAAGATGGTGTGCTTCCTATTCACCATGGTGGGTTTGTGCACTGGGAGGTGACATTCAGAAATATTGAGAGGATGCCAAAGATCCATTCTACTTATCTAAACTTATCCATCTCTTTTGTATGTTTTGAAATAATTGAGCAATTCAGCACTTATTTCATGGTCCAAAGGGAGATTTGAGCTGCAATTTATGTAGGATTCAGTGTCCTTGAACTTACTAGGTCCTACTATTAGCTAGACATAGATTATATTGTCCTATTAGTTCCAATAGGAGAGAATATCTAGCTCAAGGTTGAAATGTGGAGTCCTTGATGTTCTCTGAGTTGTTCACTTGAAGAGATTTCATTACCAGACTGGATAATATTATCAGTGTTAGTGAGCTTGGGGTTTCTCTCTGTTTACATAGAATAGCTTACCCTGCCAGTGTTGAAAGTATCATGTTAGACCTAGAGTGCAACCTCTATGTTGGAGTAGGCCCTCCATTGCTATCACATTATCATTTTTAATTATGACAGAATAGGAAATTATCGAAGTGGTTAATTACATTAACTAGATTTTAATGTAATATTGTTTCTGTTCAATTAAATAAAGCATAGTTCATTTTAGTTCCACTCTTTTTTTTCCTGGCCCTATAGTCAATTTTTTATATAGTATCTTTAGTTGCCAGGAAAGGTTGTCAAAAAGCAAGGAAGACGTCTGCAAACAAATAAAACATAGGAAAGATTGCACATCACATGACTTTACATTAGAACCTTGATATAGTTACAGAGAAATAAAATACAAACACTTTATTGAAATTAAACTTCACCAAGTATATCAGCAGCAGTCATGGAGAGGTGGACAAGGGGAGGTGCATTAAAATAAATAAAGCAGCACTACATCAATTCAACACAATTCCACCCTTTTGTAGTATGTGGTGGCACTGTATGTCTGCAAGAAATGTGTTGAATTTAAGGCTTTCATTATTTTGACAAAAGCGAAATGCACAACTCTGATCTAAAAGCAAAAACACAGTTATCAGAGGATGAGAAGACAAGTTATTGCCCTCTTTTCACCCATGTTGCACCCATAATAACATGTAAAATGTACCCATTCACATTTCTAGGAAAGGGTTTAAAAAGTGCAGATGTAGCCAATCTCAACCACACCACTTTGTTAGCAAGCCAGAGGATAAGGATTAGAGTATCAGAGTCCCTCTGTTAGAGGTAAGATAAACTTCAAAATTTGATTAAATAAATAAATAAATGCTTTCAGTTGGAATTCAAATACACAAAAAGTTCTGCATTAAACAACAATAAGCACAAATATACTGTAACTACATAGAGATACATACACACACACACACACACTGTATGTATGTGTGTGTGTGTGTATGTACTGTGTATGTGCGTGTATAAATCCAATATTTAGGAGAAGAAATAAATACTAGGAAACAATGCATATGGCTAGAAATATGTGCATGCCAATATACAACTATGCATACATAAGGTCAATGTGCACAAATGCATGTGAGTTTTTGAGGGGGCGAGGCTGTTGGTGCTAGGACTTTGTTCTTGTTTGTTTTGGTATGACCTGCCTCCTCCTTTGATTCTAAAGATGATTGAGCAAATTTAGAGGTAATAAGATGAGAAACTGAGTGAAAAAGAAATTACAGATTTGCTCATTCATATTCAGTTATTCTATGAACAGCTGTTAGTTTGCTTTGGTACAAAACTCAAACAAAGATGAAACATTACACAATAGAGATTTAGAATTCACACCTTTGCAAACATTTTCTCCCTTTTGCATGAAGCTGTGGGCAAAATATTTACCTTGCCTTTGATTAAATATGCAACAGCCGGATGAAACAGCTTTGCAGGTTACATTCATCTGTTAGTTGACCAATCCTAGGTTGAAAATCTTAAAGTACATTTGTTGATTTCATATTTAATTAGAAAAGCTGCAAAATAAACTGGTAATTATTCTTAAAAGCCATTTGACTAATAACTTGGCAGGAATACATATTTCATGTATTCTAATATGCTGAAAGATATGGTGCCAAAGGCAAGTTGACAAATCAACTGATGACTGGAACAAAAACTCCCAAAGCTATAATTTGAAGATTGCTTTGATTACATTATGTGATATAAATGATCTAAAAATTAAAATAAATTATACACATTTTCTTATTTCTGAATTCATGAATACGCAAAACAAAGTCATTTGGTGCAGTATTTGTTACTTGTTCTGCAATAAATAGTTAATGAAACAATTACTCTTTGCAAAGAACATTATGAAAGAATAGATAATATATGAAAAGATGAAAGAAGATTATTGATTGTGATAACTTAACTGTGATTGTAATTTTGTATTACATCAGGTCCCCAGGGGTTAATTTTGTTCTAGGTGACTTTGCTTATTGTAGCTTAGCATAGTGCTGTACGTAGATTTTAATTCATTTTGATAAAAGAACTTGAGCTTTTCTTTCAATGTAACTATCTAAGAAGATAATTGCAGTGAAATTCCCAAGGATGGAATATGGATTTCTTACAACATTATATATTTATCTGTGAGATGGGCAAGTGGTACAAATGAAATGAACATCCTGGATTTCACTATACAGTACTATTGTTTTAATAATGGCATTCAGCATCTAAGTTTGCATAAATCCCAAAGGAGATCATAAGAAGGAAGTTTGTCTCAGGAGGGTTGTGTTTTGTTTTTGTTTCTTTTTATTATGTTTTGTTTTGTATAGGCAGCTAGGGAAGGTCTAGAGTATAACAGAAAACAACACACCAGCAATGGCATTTCTTGCCATCTCTAAGCAAAGCACAAAAATATCGCCAACAGAGAGAGGATAAAATCTTGAGCCCCTTGAGAATAAACAGAGAAGCAGAAATTTGTTTCGCACAGGAAAGCCTTTGAGAAACTGAACCACATTTCAGTAGACTTTTTTCAAACAACATTTTTTTAAAGGAGTCAGCTGTTTCAGGAGTCAATTTCACTATCAATCAAGTACAATCCTTTACATATTTATTCAAAGGAAAACCCTACTACTTAAAAAAAAAAGCTTAGTAAGGCAACTGTGTATTGGCAAATTGGTGGAGGCATTATTTAACGGGTAATTGATTGCTTATTTATTTACTTACTTGTTTTTATGTGCCGGAGCTAGTATAATTAAAAGATATTTTAGGTTAAGAGCACATGTTTTTTCAAACTATTTAGTTTAAAAAACTTTGCTATATTAGAAAACAAAACATTCCTTTCAGTTATGTAATTGAATTCAATTAAAACATTATACTTTTTATTTCCCTACATTCGGTTTTAAATTGATATGATTATAAGGATCAAACTTATCAGAATGAGCTTTCTGTGATTTTTAAAGTACAAACATGGTGATTGAACTTTAAAGATGAGGCACGATAGAGTCTCTGTTTATAGTGCATAACTTTATCAAAGCTGTGATTAAAGCTGTAACTTTTTTACACTTTGGTCATAGGACACCTGTAGCTTTTTGATGTGGTTGGATTCCAGATTCTTCTAACTACAGTCATCCTATTTGAGCTACAGTTCAATTATATTTGATGGGCTGCAGGTTTTCTGCTCCTGATCTATTATAGTATCATGCTGGTGGTTCCATTACTGTTTTACAAGTAGGAAATCTCTTTCTTAAAGATATATATAACAGAATCAGCTTTCCTTTCTTTTGAAAGAACATGCCGTGATTCACTAAATAAAATGAAAAATGATTGTTTGAAAAAAATATGTCACACAAATGCTTTGCCAATTGGAGAGTACACAGCATTGTTAATTGTCCAGAAATCATTTTTTTTTCCTTTTGGTGGCTTAAGTTATAGAAACCTTTAAATGACATCTGCAGTTTATGATACAACTTGCTTGAATTATCAACATAACATTTTCCTTGATGTTCAGTCTCTTGTTGCTTCATTGGCTTGTATCCTCATGTCTTTATTTATGATCTACCATAAGGCAGACACTTGGAAAGGTCCAAGATTGAAAAACTGAGGAAGCTGAGATACAACAATTCTTATCTCTTCTCCACTTTTACCTCTCACACAAATAGGATAAATGCTTTATGATTCTCTCTGTTCAAAACAAAATAAAGAGAAGTTTTGCCAGTTGATTTCAACACTCACAGATCTATGATTTAGTGGATCTGATGTGTAAAGTTCTTCACCTGAACTTGATAATCTTTTTTTCTCCCTGTTCCACTGAGGTTTCTTCTGCTTAGATTTACTTCCTGCTTCTTCACAGCAAGTTAGTGATACAGGAATGGATGCTTTGTATTATCACAAATCTTTCTTTCTTCTTTTTAAGGAAGCTTGCAAGTCCGATACAGACTGAGTAAAGACAAATCTCTTATTTTCACAATTGATTCTGGAAACTTTGCTAACAGAGAACTACACAGCGTGAAGATAAATAGAAATGGAAGAGAGCTGACTATTCAGGTATCTAATATACTATTTGTTGTGGCCCACAACTTCCTGAACCCTTTGCAGTCCTTAGTAATCAAATGAAAATAAATTTGATATCTGTCCTGAAAAGCACATGCCCATATTTGCTAAAGTTGCTGTTGGATCTTGTAAGTGGCTACAACAATGGCATGGTCAGATAAGTGCCTTGCCAAACCAAGTGAGAATTTTGTCTTCTGGCTGCAGCAACTTGAGGAGCATCCGGCGACTTCAGCTAGTCCAGAATGCGGCCGCGTGAGCGATTGTGGGTGCACCTCGGTACACCCACATAACACCTATCCTCCATGAGCTGCGCTGGCTACCTGTCGATCTCCAGGTGTGCTTCAAGGTGCTACTTACCACCCATAAAGCCCTTCATGGTAGTGGATCTGGATACTTGAGAGACCGCCTTCTGCCAATTACCTCCTCACGACCCATTAGATCTCATAGATTAGGCCTCCTCAGAGTTCCATC